GAACTTTAAATTTCAGTAGACTAATTTTTGAAAAATTAATTTGATTTTAATGGATTATTATATATAATTTTCTTTGAAAAGAACAATATAGTATCTTGTAACAATATTTTAGTAATTGTCTTAATAAGTAATGAAACATAATTCATAAGTTGATAAACTATCAACAATGGAATTCCTCTGCTACAAATGTACATATGATTTTATTTTTGCAGTAATAAAAACTTTTTTTTTAAATTATAAATCTCCAGAAAGAATACTTGCAAAATAATAATAGCAAACAAAACTTTCAACGTCGTGATAAAAAACCCTTCTATTATAGCCACTAATACAAAAAAGCCAAGCTATTCTTAGCGTGTCTCTTTTAAACGGCCATCACGTAGCCTTAATAATACTTCCTCTTCGGATAGTGGGTGTCGACCTGCACGCACGAAAAAATCCTTTTTATTGCGGTAGGTAGTTGCATGTCTACAAGCCTACGAGACTGTGGGTTCTCCACACTGCTGATTATCGCGCGCTCATTATTTATTCTTTCTTTCTCTCCTTTTCCGCTTGTTCTTATTCACCCTTATACAGTTCGAAGAAAGGCGACATAGAGTTGTCGAGCAACCCGAGTAAAATTGCATCGCAGAAGGGGCGTTTCCGATTAAGGATGGTCATAATAGAATGTCCGACAACGTTTTTCCTGTGTAGTCTTATTTCGGAGAAATAAAACTCCATAACGATAATGATAGGTATACATATCTCTCCATACTACATGCCACGACGTATCATGACAAAAATCTTAAGAACTAATTGTCTAATATTTTCAGTGAAAAATAGATATTTTCATATAAATTTGCCTGAATTAGAATAATATAATTTTTTAACTTTAAATCAACAAGAAACAAGATTCGATAAATTAATAAAAAATAAAAACGCGTAACTCTCATTTGTATATATAAGTAATTTACCTAAAATTAAAATTCTTATATGTATATTTACTAATTTAAAAAAAAAGGAGAAAGATGATATACATAGATATAACCAAATAAATGATAAAGCAAAAAATTCTTTTACCGAATTCCAAGCATTCATTGCGTTTGCATGCCATGCGTTGACGATTACGCGTGCCTAGCGAGCGAGGTATGGGAACAATTTCATGGATTTTGATGAAGAATGTGTGGACAGATGCGTATGCAGCTACAGATACGATCAGGATGCAGATGCGATTATTATTGTTGCGCATTAGAACGCGTTTTTCGTTTAACGCGGTCCTTTTTTTATCCAATATAAATCACTGCATTCGATTGCGCGTTGTACGTAACAATACGATTGATCGATCGGTGTTAAACTCTTTAATCATTGTCCGTTTGCTACGATGCGAAACGCACGGTGATAAAATTTTAGGCAACACCGGTTTTTATTTGTTTCATCATTGTCTCGCGATGTAACGACGCAGCACTAGCAACAGTGGGTGCGATTTCAACAATGTCGCGTTTTTGAAACTATTTCGCGTCTAGGCTAGAAATGTTTTTCTTCTTCACAAAATCAGACAGTTGCCTGCGAGAAAGAAAAGTGATTGCGCGCTTTAATGCAGTGTACAAATACAATTAATATTTTTTTTACAAATAATTATTAATTCTTTTTTATTTTTTTTCTTTGTAAAAATGTATATAAATGAATATGTGAAAGCAAACCAACACTTTAAAATAAATATCGTACATTCCTATTTTCTCTTCTCTCTATTCTGCAAGGGTGTTATGAAAAAAAAATAATAACAATGTATATTAGCAAAAAAATATTCGTACGCAAAGCATTTGAATAAAAGAAAAAGTAGAAATGTGTAGCGTAAATTTATTGCACACCGAGTTGCTTTTATGGAAGTATGGTGTGCACATGTCACTATCTAGCATAAATATTTAAAAGTACATGTTTTGTATTCTTTATGCATTGAAATATTTGTTTTATCATTTTTACAGATTTTTCGTTTCGCTTTTTTTTTATTCCACAACAAAAAGCATTTTTTTCTTTATACGTATAGTTTTGAATGTATTTACTTTCATTTTTCGCGTTTTTCTCATATCATATTCCGACTATTTTCTCCCCCATTATTGGCGGCTGACCAAGCAAATCCGTATCCACTTTTCTGACATGACTTAAGCGCGACATTGATGAAAATCTCACTTTAGACATCGCGCTTTAACGAGCGGCAGACTGGAAAATGCACGATATTATTTTTCCGCACGTCTCGCATCTTTCATGCATTTCCACCGCGAAGCTTTCTCTTACGTTCCTCCTTCCTATTTCTCATCGCTAATGACTCGCACGTTAGTTGTACATACATGCATACGACGTGTATACGTGAACTTGGGATAAACGATTCGTGTTGTACTTGAAGATTGATCGACTGATGCTGAGAATTTTAATTAGAAGCACTTTCATCATGTTTATACCACCGTAAACCAAACGCCTGTTAAAAACTTTGATACGCGTGCACCTGTATTGTTTCTCAATTATTTTATGTTTTCTTTTTATAGTTTCTAACTCTCTACATTCTATATACTATTAAATAATAAAATTACAACTATTTTTTATTTTATTTCAGAGTAGCGTGAGCGACGCAAATGAACAGTCGGATATGATACAATATGTTATCTATAAAAAATTGGTTTGTAGATCATACAAAAATAAAATAAATATTACGATAAATTTTTAAAAAATATTGAAAATAATATTGGAAAAAATGCAAGCATAAAAGAATTTTTTCTATAATTTACTATTATCAGTATATGCATTTTTTATTTAAAAAAATTTATGTTTAAAATAAATATATAATTTAAGATATTGATTATTTAAAAAAATTTTCTTGGCTAGTTTGGGTCGAATTAAATATATCGTTCCTATTTTAAATACCACTAGCGACGTTTTAAGTATTCAATTTGATTTTAAAATATTGACTTAAAAAGTAGTTAAATTGATATACCAATCTTTTTTGGTTTTTCAAAAAATCTAAAAGATGATAAGTTGAAGATATTTAATATTTCAAGCAAGCGTCAACGTCTAACTTATTTTCGCTTGTTCAATGTTTTTTTAATAATAGAAAAACGTTCTCTCTCTTGTATTTTTGCCTTTTCGTTTTGCCTAAAAACTTGATGTTTGGTACGCGTATAGGTAAACAAACAAACCAACATGATTTGATGCGTTAAAAAGGATTTCTCATAGAAAAATATATTCGCCTACTACTGTAAGCTATTTCTCTGCAAAAGTATAAACGAAAAGGAGTAACATTTCTAGTTGCGAGTTTCATATTTTGCTCTCCGTCTACCGCTGTTTTCCGGGCATTACAAAGCATGCATGTGGCACATCTTTATGTCCGCGTATCCTTATTTTCTACTGGCCTTGTCTAGGCGCCATCACATTCATCACGTGCAAAGAATTATTTACTTAGTGTCACTTATCTAGTACGAGCTGACGTACATACTTTCTGAAGTAAGCTAAGCATTTTTATAGGAAAATATGTATATTTAGAGCGTATCTCGTTGATATAAATTTTTTAAATATTAAATTCTAATATACTATAATAATATTATATAAATCATAAAATTTTCTGAATCTTTGAATCTATGAATTTTGATTAATTAATTCATATTTATTATTTTCAAATGCGTTTTATTAAAGTTTCATCTGCAATTATATAATCAAAGAATTATTTATCAAATTATATCGTTATTTCTTCCTTTCTTAGACTTTCTTTTTTAGCAATGTAAGTATAGACTTATTTTAATTGTAATTCTCTCATACATATACTGTATACATTGACTGTAATGTCGGTGAATACGAATTAAATCGGAATTATATGCGATTAATATCAAAGAAATAAGTAGGTATTTCACAATCTTCAGCAGTAATGCATGAGAATATAAAATCACGCACCTAATGTGCACCCTACTTCGATAATTAGTAAGGAAGTAATTATGAGGAGAACGCTCGCGCGATATCGCCTTCTTTAGATGAGATTAATACTTTATGAACGTAATGCGTCCTAATGCGACCTGTACCGCGAAATGTAAATTCGAGCGTTAACTTTTCGAGCGTCTCATTCAAGTTTCACCTGCGATTAACCCCGAAGCTTTTACGCTAAGAGCACTGCGCTCGCGCAAAGAAATATTTTCTTTTGAACTAAAAACATTTTCAAATAATACGTATATTTTGTTAATGTAGAAATTTTTCATAATATATAAATGCAAAAATATTTTAAAATATTAATAAAAATAATTAGTGCAATTAAACCGAAATCCGTAGGACAGCATTATTAAAGCCTTTCTTGCAGATGCGAGAAAGCATATTCGCAGACTTCTATGCCAATTGAAAAAGAAAGCTTTATATTCACACTTCAGATGATGTATAAAAGACATTTAATAATTTCACAATATTTGAAGGACTTACCTTTGTGAACCGTGGTGAAGCGTTTATAATGCCTCATAGTTTAATGACATTTTTAACGATACACACACACACACAACGCGCCTATAGGAATTTATCAAAGTGTCTCTGCGCATTATTATGCTACTCACGTGATGAAATATATTTTTATTTATCTACTATATTCATTATTACTTAATATTTTTTCATCTTTCTTGCCTGATAAAATAATAAACGATAAAATTTAACTTGCAATTTTATTTTACTCGATGTAGCGTTATTTATTTAACGTTTCTTTTTTATATTTATTGACATTATTGACAAAAATATTATGCGTAATTATTTTTATACACATCTCGAGCAATGAAAAATATTGTACATTGCATAAGTGTTAAATTGCATAAATAGCAACACAACATTTGATCCCTCTTGCAAACAATAAATATACCCTGAATAAATATATAAATAAATATCACCAAATTGATATTTATGCGACGAGTCCAGTTATTGTTATTTGCATAAGTTTGACGCAAAAGAAACACGCTACAAAGTATATTCTTATTCTAACGAGAAAAGAGGGATTGTTATTCTTTACTCACCCTTATCGAGCGACCTGGCCAAGAGGATTGTCGGCAGGATCAGAAAGACCATGTACCACGAGAGCCGGTCCCGCATCTTCGCGAGGTTCCAAGTCCTCCTGGAAAAGTAACATTCGGTTTATTCGTTGCAGCATTCGACTTACGACGACGCACTATATATGCCCGCTTTTACTATGTCAATGCGTTTACGATGTATCCAGGGTAAAACGTAAAACTTTATTCGCGCGTAGAGAATTTCGTTTATCATGCACCGAAAACTCAGCCGACAGTGTGAGCACCGCGAGAGGAATATGGTGGAGAAAACAAGATTTTCGTACTTCTGTAGATGTGCATATGAAAACGTACGCGCAATCTAATCTGCAGCTAAATTTTGCCTGCGAGACATTGGCATGTTCGCGTTGTATTTAATAAATTTTTACAATATTTATATTTTTTATATGCATTTTATAAGGCGTACATTTGTCTGAATATACTATTTTTCCGATTTTATTCATAGTGATATAATAAAATCCATCGTACATATCTATACCAAGTTCTATTTACTTGTTATATTTAATAAAATATTGTAAAATGTTAACAGAACGTAACCTCAGAATATACTCGTAAAACTAAACGTAACTCAGACTAAACTCAGAAATATTAAAAAATAAATACAACGAAGATGTATCTATTAATAACTTTCACATTTCCGTCTAATGAACAGCGTTTACTTATACTACTGATGTTGACTTATACTACTGATATTCAGAAGTATCTTAAAACTGCATATATTCTTACTCAGAAATATTAAAAAATGAATACAACGAAGATGTATCTATTAATAACTTTCACATTTTTGTCTAATGAACAGCGTTTATTTATACTGCTGATCGTTGACTTATACTACTGATATTCAGAAGTATCTTAAAACTGCATATATTCTTACTCAGAAATATTAAAAATAAATACAACAAAAATGTATCTATTAATAACTTTCACATTTCCGTCTAATGAACAGCGTTTATTTATACTACTGTTCGTTGACTTATACTACTGATATTCAGAAGTATCTTAAAACTATATATATATTCTTACTCTAAAATATTAAAAAATAAATACAACAAAGATGTATCTATTAATAATTTTCACATTTCCGTCTAATGAACAGCGTTTACTTATACCACTGATCGTTGACTTATACCACTGATATTCAGAAGTATCTTAAAACTGCATATAAATTCTTACTCAGAAATATTAAAAAATAAATACAACAAAAATGTATCTATTAATAACTTTCACATTTCTGTCTAATAAACAGCGTTTACTTATATCACTATTTGTTGACTTATATTACTAATATTCAGAAGTATCTTAAAACTGCATATATATTCTTACTCCGAAATATTAAAAAATAAATACAACAAAAATGTATCTATTAATAATTTTCACATTTCCGTCTAATAAACAGCGTTTACTTATACCACTGATCGTTGACTTATACCACTGATATTCAGAAGTATCTTAAAACTGCATATATATTCTTACTCAGAAATATTAAAAAATAAATACAACAAAAATGTATCTATTAATAACTTTCACATTTCCGTCTAATAAACTGCGTTTACTTATACCACTGATCGTTGACTTATACTACTGATATTCAGAAGTATCTTAAAACTGCATATATATTCTTACTCAGAAATATTAAAAAATAAATACAACAAAGATGTATCTATTAATAACTTTCACATTTCCGTCTAATGAACAGCGTTTACTTATACTACTGATCGTTGACTTATACTACTGATATTCAGAAGTATCTTAAAACTGCATATATATTCTTACTCAGAAATATTAAAAAATAAATACAACGAAGATGTATCTATTAATAACTTTCACATTTCCGTCTAATAAACAGCGTTTACTTATACTACTGATCGTTGACTTATACTACTGATATTCAGAAGTATCTTAAAACTGCATATATATTCTTACTCAGAAATATTAAAAAATAAATACAACAAAGATGTATCTATTAATAACTTTCACATTTCCGTCTAATGAACAGCGTTTACTTATACCACTGATCGTTGACTTATACTACTGATATTCAGAAGTATCTTAAAACTGCATATATATTCTTACTCAGAAATATTAAAAAATAAATACAACGAAGATGTATCTATTAATAACTTTCACATTTCCGTCTAATGAACAGCGTTTACTTATACTACTGATCGTTGACTTATACTACTGATATTCAGAAGTATCTTAAAACTGCATATATATTCTTACTCAGAAATATTAAAAAATAAATACAACAAAGATGTATCTATTAATAACTTTCACATTTCCGTCTAATAAACAGCGTTTACTTATACTACTGATGTTGACTTATACTACTGATATTCAGAAGTATCTTAAAACTGCATATATATTCTTACTCAGAAATATTAAAAAATAAATACAACGAAGATGTATCTATTAATAACTTTCACATTTCCGTCTAATGAACAGCGTTTACTTATACCACTGATCATTGACTTATACTACTGATATTCAGAAGTATCTTAAAACTGCATATATATTCTTACTCAGAAATATTAAAAAATAAATACAACAAAGATGTATCTATTAATAACTTTCACATTTCCGTCTAATAAACAGCGTTTACTTATACTACTGATCGTTGACTTATACTACTGATATTCAGAAGTATCTTAAAACTGCATATATATTCTTACTCAGAAATATTAAAAAATAAATACAACGAAGATGTATCTATTAATAACTTTCACATTTCCGTCTAATAAACAGCGTTTACTTATACCACTGATCGTTGACTTATACTACTGATATTCAGAAGTATCTTAAAACTGCATATATATTCTTACTCAGAAATATTAAAAAATAAATACAACAAAGATGTATCTATTAATAACTTTCACATTTCCGTCTAATAAACAGCGTTTACTTATACCACTGATCGTTGACTTATACTACTGATATTCAGAAGTATCTTAAAACTGCATATATATTCTTACTCAAAATATTAAAAAATAAATACAACAAAGATGTATCTATTAATAACTTTCACATTTCCGTCTAATGAACAGCGTTTACTTATACCACTGATCGTTGACTTATACTACTGATATTCAGAAGTATCTTAAAACTGCATATAATTCTTACTCAGAAATATTAAAAAATAAATACAACAAAAATGTATCTATTAATAACTTTCACATTTCCGTCTAATAAACAGCGTTTACTTATATCACTGATTGTTGACTTATACTACTGATATTCAGAAGTATCTTAAAACTGCATATATATTCTTACTCAGAAATATTAAAAAATAAATATAACAAAGATGTATCTATTAATAATTTTCACATTTCCGTCTAATAAACAGCGTTTACTTATACCACTGATCGTTGACTTATACTACTGATATTCAGAAGTATCTTAAAACTGCATATATATTCTTACTCAGAAATATTAAAAAATAAATACAACGAAGATGTATCTATTAATAACTTTCACATTTCCGTCTAATGAACAGCGTTTACTTATACCACTGATCGTTGACTTATACTACTGATATTCAGAAGTATCTTAAAACTGCATATATATTCTTACTCAGAAATATTAAAAAATAAATACAACGAAGATGTATCTATTAATAACTTTCACATTTCCGTCTAATAAACAGCGTTTACTTATACTACTGATGTTGACTTATACTACTGATATTCAGAAGTATCTTAAAACTGCATATATATTCTTACTCAGAAATATTAAAAAATAAATACAACGAAGATGTATCTATTAATAACTTTCACATTTCCGTCTAATAAACAGCGTTTACTTATACCACTGATCGTTGACTTATACTACTGATATTCAGAAGTATCTTAAAACTGCATATATATTCTTACTCAGAAATATTAAAAAAAATACAACAAAGATGTATCTATTAATAACTTTCACATTTCCGTCTAATAAACAGCGTTTACTTATACCACTGATCGTTGACTTATACTACTGATATTCAGAAGTATCTTAAAACTGCATATATATTCTTACTCAGAAATATTAAAAAATAAATACAACAAAGATGTATCTATTAATAACTTTCACATTTCCGTCTAATAAACAGCGTTTACTTATACCACTGATCGTTGACTTATACTACTGATATTCAGAAGTATCTTAAAACTGCATATATATTCTTACTCAGAAATATTAAAAAATAAATAACAAAGATGTATCTATTAATAACTTTCACATTTCCGTCTAATAAACAGCGTTTACTTATACACTGATCGTTGACTTATACTACTGATATTCAGAAGTATCTTAAAACTGCATATATATTCTTACTCAGAAATATTAAAAAATAAATACAACGAAGATGTATCTATTAATAACTTTCACATTTCCGTCTAATGAACAGCGTTTACTTATACCACTGATCGTTGACTTATACTACTGATATTCAGAAGTATCTTAAAACTGCATATATATTCTTACTCAGAAATATTAAAAAATAAATACAACAAAGATGTATCTATTAATAACTTTCACATTTCCGTCTAATGAACAGCGTTTACTTATACCACTGATCGTTGACTTATACTACTGATATTCAGAAGTATCTTAAAACTGCATATATATTCTTACTCAGAAATATTAAAAAATAAATACAACAAGATGTATCTATTAATAACTTTCACATTTCCGTCTAATGAACAGCGTTTACTTATACCACTGATCGTTGACTTATACTACTGATATTCAGAAGTATCTTAAAACTGCATATATATTCTTACTCAGAAATATTAAAAAATAAATACAACAAAGATGTATCTATTAATAACTTTCACATTTCCGTCTAATGAACAGCGTTTACTTATACTACTGATCGTTGACTTATACTACTGATATTCAGAAGTATCTTAAAACTGCATATATATTCTTACTCAGAAATATTAAAAAATAAATACAACAAAGATGTATCTATTAATAACTTTCACATTTCCGTCTAATGAACAGCGTTTACTTATACCACTGATCGTTGACTTATACTACTGATATTCAGAAGTATCTAAAACTG